ATACCATCGGTATAAATTTTGCTCTTTCAAGAGCTCAATTACTCGTTGACCTGCGATTGCGCATGCTCTTCGCTGACTCCGCCCCTGCGCTCAGACGCGTTTTTATGGCGAAGTGCGACGACGCCTTCGTACTTATGCTGGAAACTTAATCTGAGATTAACCTCGTGGAACCTGGAAGGAGGGTATCCTCTAGATAAATTCCGATTCTTGAAATATTTAATACCTGAATATGCGCAAATTTCATACTCGTCAGGGTTTCCTTCAATAGTTTTCACGTTTTTGATAAAACACGTTATCAAATCACGACAAGATAGGTCGGACAGTTTTCTGCTATTCCGTATTTTAAGTCATTTCCTTTCTGCAATTTATGGGAAGGTTTTTCAGCCTGAATAGGTCATCGAAAAATGAAGACGAGTGACAAAACAATTGCGAGTATGCGTCCAGCAAAAAGCTTCTCAGACAACCAGGTACATTTTCATGAATTTTTACGACTTATTCTGATTGTAATTCGTAAAAGTCATCAGGGTATAAGGTCGAATGTCATAGAATGTTGATTCGTGATTCTTCTCGTTAATTTCTTCGCAACTTTGCATAAATATCAGAAATTACTCTTGTTTCAACGCATTCAGTATCGGATTTAACAGTTAAATATAAATCATCTTCAGAGAAGAACCAATTATAGGCGAGAATAAACAGTCTCGACTTCAGTGCAGATGGCTTGCAAATGATTTCATCTTCGGACGATGATTCGATTGTGATGTACGATTGCAGTACTGGTCAAAAGAGTCGATCGGTCAGTTCGTGATCATTCAATTGTTATGCATATATTTGGTGCTTCGCCATTTTTTCGTTGCTGATTTTGACATTTATATGTCAGTTTCCTTCATTGAAAATCTTAACCCAACTGTCTTGTGGTCCTATTGCACTGTAAAAGTTAAAATTCAAAAAAACGAAGCGTGATATCGATACAACATTTAAATAAAAGTTTCTATATTGGTCATATAATCAACAGTATCGAAAGTTCTAAATGTGGGCTATTTTTGAAATGTTATCGTTAAGGAGCACTTGTGTTATTGTTCTCTCTCAAGTTGTTCTGTAGTCAGTGAAATTCAAAAGTCGTTCATATTGGTCATGTCAAATTATGTGATGTAATTAAACAGTTGCATAGAGCAGAAGATATTAAATTCGTTAGATAAGCTCATAATTCTCGTGTAGTTAGTAGTGAATCTTAAAAGTTTCTCGTTCATTCGAACAAAAAAATTGTAATCGTGATTCATTCAGGTAAATAGTAAAAAATACGGTGTCGATTTAATTCAGTTCGCACACAACACGTCAAATGCGATACACTGCTCCACTAAAGTTGATGGTAAGTGCCGAATTTCTGTTGGAATGAGTTGGCTNTGTGCCGTCAACTTTCGGAAGTTTCATTCATCAAATATTTCAGATGTTATTCGATATCTGTCACTTCACGACAACAAATATATTCGGTATTTTCCAGGACATCAAAAGAAGTTAGTGAATTTGTTTTATAGTTTTCATTCTGCAATTTAACAATAGAGGAACGAAAAAGTTGGGTAGCTATGTACGATAGCAACATTGCTTCACATGGTAGTTGTAAATGTTCCAAGATGAATATAGATTTTGATCGAATTGGCTAGTTCATTTCAGTCGTCAAGGATTTTCTAATGTAAATGTGACTTCAGAGTTGTCACGCTATGTATGTCACCGCTAGATGATATGTTTCTGTCGGGTTCACTTGACAAGACCATTCGCCTTTGGGATCTACGAATGCAAAGCTGTCAGGTTCGTTTGAGTGATGACCTCTTTGATATTCGAGGCGTGCTGGGAGAGATTGTTATGTGGGCGAATTCTTTATTTATGATAATCAGTGACATTTGACGGTCTACCGAATTCCTTGCCTAGGAAAAGAGATAGTCTGAGGTCGGGTTAGATGAATGCTGTTTAGAATAAGACCGGAAACATTGGAACGACCCTTGGCTGTATGCAAGCATCTGATATAGCATTGGGTTTTATGAATAATGCGAAGGTTTTGTCGACATATTGAATTGAGTTTTCACTGAATGTAATGCCTACAGTGAGTGGATATGTTTTCATTCATACGTTGAAAAATAGCTTTTTTACATATGAAAAATTTGGAGGTGTTGAATCATCGATCTTATTTAGGGTTTGATGCATGTTCCATCACGACCAGTGGCTGCGTTTGACCCTGAAGGATTGATATTTGCTGCTGGCATCAACTCGGACACCATAAAATTATACGATCTCCGGTCATTCGATAAGGTTCTGGAAGGATTCTGTTTTTTGAANTATTGATGACAAGTTTTGTTTGTTTGAATTATTATTGAATAACTGGTAGTTTAAGTACTGTGGAAAAACTCAGTGAGAAAATGTGGATGCTTTGATGAAATTTATTCAGTCAGTGATAAGTTTTCAGGGTCCATTTATGACATTCAAAGTGGAGAGTGATTCAAAAGAGGGCGACTGGACAGGCCTGAAGTTTTCGCCTGATGGCAAGATGATCATGTTAACAACGAACGCTGCTTGTGTGACTCTTTTAGATGCTTTCAAGGGAACACTGATTCACACACTTCGAGGTGTTTGTCCATTTTGAAATTTCAGATTCGAAAACTTTGATCTGAATGATCAAATTGATCTTTGAATAATTCATAAATTTTTGTAAACATTGATGGATGTAATATTCTTTGGTTCGATTGAAAAATGTCAAATTTGAGGTCATGAGAACAATAAAGGAATTGAATTGGATGCGACTTTTTCGGCCGATGCGCAATACGTATTCAGTGGTTCAACGGATAGTTCAATCTGTGTTTGGTCTGCGGTGAGTGGGCAGCGTGTGGCACGTCTCGTGTCAGGCCATTCTCCATTAATTCAAAAAGTCCTCTTCAATCCACGTTTCTTCATGTTGGCGACTGCTTGTACTATGCTGGTAGGTGTTTACGCTATCATTTATATTTCCCGTCTCATGAAAGTGATGGTGTTGTCTTGTATGGAATAAAGAATAGGTAATGCGGAATTGAACCGAGTATTCAATAGGAATATTTTGCGTGAATATACGTAATTGATGTTTAGTTTGCTTTAGTGGGAGTGACGTTGAGTTTCTTCGGTAATTTTTTTGCAAATATTCAACGTTACAAATAATTTTATTACAGTATTTATTGATTGATAACAGTAACAATGTTGAGTTTGATAAATATCTTGAATTGTTTGAACATATTTTGAAATTTCATTGGGGTATCGTGGGTTGAGCGAGATTTTGAGGAGGAATCATTATTGTGAGAGTTGGAATTTTTGATGCGATTGTTGATGATGGCCAATTTTTTTGGGCTGATGGATATGTGATAAGGTCCGTTGCCAGTATTGCCGTCATCAATATTGTTCATTATTCCGTTTATTGCTGTTGCTATCACTTTTAAACATTCCAGAATCTTTGGTTGCCAAGTGAGGAAGAATGATGACGATTATCTGAAATAATCATACTGAATTGATGATATAAAACTGATTCACTAATATGGTGTCATAATCATGAAAGCGGATTAATTTGGAGAGAAAAATGATGATATTCGAAGAAGAATTTAATTTCTTTAAGTGCTATTTGTCGTGAATTTTATTGTTGTATGTGAAGTGTTGTGTACATATTTGATATAATGTAACAAATCTGAAATTATGTGAGATTGTCGTACTAAACGATGTTGTGGATGATAGGTTATCAGTGTGATGATTTCGTGTCATCTCTAAGCTGCAGTTTTAAGGATGAGTGCAATGAAATTGCACGGAAAATTGGATCTCGTGAATTTGAATTTTACAGTGATAACCAAAATTACGAATAGTTTTAGATTTATTCTGGAGCGTAGGCTTTTCCGGGATATTAGTAGTAGAGCTTTGGCATATCCTGTTGATGATCTGGAGGACCTGAAAATATGTAGTTTGGGAGCATGAGACATTTTGACAGTGTAGAGCTGATGGTAAACTGTGCTGACGGTTGATGGGTGGCTTTTGTTTGACACTTGTGAAGACACGCCGACAAAATTTGAAACGCGTGAATTCTAGAGTGCCAAGCAGTAACCATTCATTCATAGGGGCATTAGCGACATTTGATGATAATCTTTTCATGATGATAGTAATGTTTTTTGTGATAGTTTGACTGATATCATTAGTAGAAACGGGAATCTCTTTAGTATGATTCAGTGGCCAAGAGGAATTCTCATTGTTGCATGCTGATCGTCTGAATGAATCAAGGAATTCGAAAAGCGCAGCATTTTAGAGTGTGCAGGTTTCAACAATGTTAACATTCATTCCATGTCATCGAGAAATTATGCTCTGGAAGTATTTGGTTTCGATTATTACTTTGTAAAGATTTGTGCTGTGTTGTTTTAGTATTTGGGTACCATCAGTCATAGGTTATCCGAGTATTTCACGAGAATTTTACCAGTTCTTGATTATGCATATAAACACTGTACCCAGAAGAAGTTTGCGAGGTACAGCTCGCATCAAAGGTACTTTCGAAATCGATTATTTTTAATCGGAATGAAGATAACTGCAGAATGGTTCTATAAGAACATTCATCCTTTGATGGATTAAGAAATTAATTGTAGCTTCATTTGTATTTGTTAAATATGGTGTCATCTTGGAACGCTTCAATTTCGACTGCAAGTTGAAGCGTTTTCTCGCCTTCACATTTGATCCTTTGCCCAAGCTCAGTGTTCATTTGTCTGCTAAAATCTTGAAAGCGCATCCATTTGTGAAAATTCGGACTTCACATTTAAATTATTGTTTTTATTGTGGATCTCTTATGCTATTGAATGAACGTGTTGACCACCTCATATTGTTAAATGTGTTGTTATCATGAAAAAATAATAAACAATTCCGAGAAATTCAGATTTTGCTCAGAATCGTTATTCATTTTACCATATTTTCATATCATTTTAAACAATTCCTACGAGGAAAGTGCATTTCTATTCAAAGAATGCATGCAAACTGATGATAATGGTAAGGTGACACAGGAAAAGTGTGATTTGAGATGAACGTATACAGAAGAGCAAGCATGCATTCAGTGATTTTGTTCGTTGTGAATTAAGAAAAGAATGTTGAAATGAAGAAAAATGGGTAAAATTTAATATGAAAAAGGATAACTATTGAAGCAATAGTTATCCTTTTATTTTTGTGAATTCTTGTTGAATTTCTTCAACGATATATGTGAATGAGGATGATAGCGATATTGCTGTAACGATGCAATTTTGTAGTAGAATATGTTCGAGCCATTCATAGAATGGTGTCAGCCGAGCAATACCAAACAAGTTATGACGGGATTATGGGACAAGTTTTGAAACATTTCAGAAATACCATCGTTCGGCAACAGATCTACCGAGTGCCACATTTCAGTAGGTATCACTGCTTCGTTTAGTGTTATATTTAGGTGTTCATTCTAGCAATCAAAAAACTTTGGTAATCACACTGTAGTATACGTTTACTTAATCACCGAATGATCATTACGTATTGAATGACTTCAAAAGAATTTGTAATTTTCATCAAACATTCAAAAAATCAGATCAGTCATACGGTTAGATCAATTTTCAGTTTTATATCATAATGCCAATTGTGATGATAGTTACTGTTTAATCATTTCTCACTAAATTTCTCAGATAAAAATTAAAACAATGCGTTTTGTTTGAAGTCAGAAATAAATGATGTTTGGACGATTTGCACGAAATTGGTTGTCGTTGAAACAGTCAGATGTCGATAAACCATGATCGGGAATTGATTTCACGTCACTCGAATAGTCTGAAAATTAGACTTGATTCAGAGAACACTCATGCGTTCTCATTCGTTTTGGGAATATCTTTACGGTTTGATACAAATTCCAAAAAACATTATTAGCAACAGAATATTATGAAGAATAAGCAGTTCTTGTTGGTTTACGATTACATTCAATCAGTTGGCAGTAGTGTTGTCAGTTCAGTAATTCGAGTAGAATAATCAATTAAGTTCTTGGTGCTTGAGCTTCGAATTTTGAGTATTTTTGTCAATGATCGAAATCAAAATTGCGTTTTTGGGAGCATTTGTTTGGATTGAGTACAAGTAAACCGAAATAAGTTAGAGCAAATGTCAATATAAAAAAAAAACAAACAACAAATAACAAACAACTAATAAATTCACATAAAGAGAAATGTCTAGGAATTGTGAATGGATGACACCATATGTTTGAGAATTAAAATGCACATCTCAAATAAATTTCAAACAATGAACAATAACCATGTAAGATCCTTGTGCACCTTGTCAAATGAACTAATTTGTTGTGACATTGGAAAACATCTTGATGTTGGCCGCATGAAATTATTTCAGTTTCATTCAGTTCACTTTTCAGAATCAATTTTGAATTTGTGATAGAATGAAATGTGTGACTTTTTTCTTTGTCTTTCATCGCAGCGTTTGGGTGGTAAAAATTTGTTCCATAACGTTCTAGAAGGAAATGGATGAATAGTGCTTTTTCAATCTCATTGGCTTTAAGAGGAATATTCTCAAAACGAAAAACGAAATGTGGTTTGCTACGAATCGAAAATGGTCAAAAAGATGATCAATTGGTTACGTTGAATGAGAGTAAGAAAGAAATCGTTTAAAGAACGTTGTCGAATTGTCAAGCAAAAACTGTGATGCTGCTATTGCAGTGTATGGAGCAGATAAATTTCTTGTCTTGAGTATTGAAGGTGAAAATGAACTGGAGTTGAATTTTAGTTTTACGAGAGTTCAAGCAATTTTGAGGTGAAGCAAGTTTTGAGGTTTACTTACAACCAAATGGCTGAATGAAATTTCGCTGAGGTCGTCTGTGGTCAGGGTCATACAATCGACTTGTTACTTAAATTTAGTCAGAATGTGTATACGAGACTACTTATACGTTCAAGCATATTATATGTTTTGGTTTTTGTAATTTGGTATGGCTGGAATTGACAACGTTACTGTGAGAACTTTCTGGCTGACCCTCGTATAGCCTAGCTGAGAATGTTTGTGTGATCATTCACTTGACATACTCTCTTCGATGTGTTCGAAATGGTAATATGGTATCATTGCATGTTTATAATTCTATGCAATCACCATAATTGTACAATGAACGAATGAGTGAATGATACAAATTAGACCTCAAACAGAAAACATCGTTAAAAATGTTTATTATCATGATGATCTGTGCTTCCAGGTAGCATTATGTGAACGATAATCACTCATGTGATTATTATAATGGTACTTGTTAAATGCGGATAATGCAGAGTACGCATTTTAATGCAGATATGATGAGGTGGATGAGGATCATGATTATGGTGTGCTTATTATTATGCCAGCCAGATCATAATATGCGAACCAATGTCACAAAAAGCATTCACTCTTCAACCCCTCTAAATCATAATTGCTCTTGTACATATACAGGTATGTATTTACTGAAAATAGGCATTATTGATGGAGTTCGCAAGGACATTTCTATCATCCGATTCACTGCGATTTGATTTGATTCCAGTTGAAACATCAAATTACATTTAATACACTCATACAAAATCACTCACAGATTCACTCAACTCACTCTTTGACGCACATACAAACATACATATATACACGAATTTATTAGGCGATGCCTTTGAATATTAGTACAGAAGTGATTTTGGTGATTATTAAGAAATACACTCTCTCTCGTAAACTGTTGCTATTCGACATGAAACGAGTGAAGAAATCGTACAAGTGGATAGTAACTGCTGGTACGGTATGAGGCGTTTTTTGATAAGTAGTATTGTTTGAGAATGAATGTTGTACGAGAACGAGAACCATTGGCATTGTAATATCACTGAAGTAATCGAGCCTGAAGTCAACCATTTGCCTCTATTTAACCACATCGATGATTAACAATTAGTCCAACATATGAATTTTGGTCAGTGTTCGTTTGAGAAGTGCTTTGCTGGGTTGAATTTGTGACTATAAAAAGTTCTCAGTTCTTATCTGTTAATGGATCTATCAATAAAAATTCACTGCTCTTAAGGCTTCCTCATAGAAACCTGTCAAGGCAGAGTATGTGTATTTGTGTTGTGGGTGTTGATCAACTTTTAATCATTTGCAAATAAAAGTGCACTGAAACGACATCATACAATTCGGTTAGTTGAGATTCTTATCGAATTTGGATGTGTTATACTTTACACTGCCTTGTAAGTTGGTATTCACGCATACGAATCAATTTTATGCGAGTGAATTAGAAAGCCGACAAATTTTGAATATATCACAGAGAACTGAAACTTCAGTTTTAGCAATTATCAAATGAGGATTTTAAAAGGAATAGCAGGCTTCCTTTTTCAGAGAATTTTACATTCTTTTCTGGTGAGGAATGATACTGATACGATACGAAGACAAAGGGAATTTTGAAAAGAGTAAAAATGAAATTGGATTCTTACATATTAAAAAATATCTCACTCGGAGTTATTGATTGCTTAGCTTAGGCTGATCCGACGTGATCTCATTCCTAACAATAGGCAATCTTTGCTGTTCAATATGTAACATGCAAAGCTGCTTCAAGTGAGCTAGTTCTTAAAAATCTCGAATGATTCACTGATATATTTGGAGAATTAGTTTAATCAAGTAAAATTTTGATGTGACAATAGTGATAGCAATAATGAGAGTAAATAAAGTTGAGTGTCGACAATGGAATTGATCATTTGATTTTGTGAAACAACTTCTTGTTCTTGAAGTTATTGCAGTTGGATTAGTCAGTGAAACACTTGCCTCGTTTGGTGTCGCATCGACGGTTAATTGAATAGGTAGAGATGCAACAAAACGGTAGCGTAACTCTATGGAACTGGCGAATACACGGAAAATTACAAATGGACCGTGAATTCATCTAGTGCCATTGAGTGATACGCAACCAAGAGATCAGACTGACGAGACGGGATATCGAGTAGAATTGAAAGTCGAATAAGGAATAGATGAGTACACCAATGAACATGAATCTGAATGCGAATAACTTCAGAACTGATCCTTTCGAGAAGCTTGAATAGCATGGGATCAGAATGACGAGTAGATCATGATGCTAGCAACTTTTTGAGGATAACACGTCAAACTACGGGTATATATCGCACAACTGTCATCCACATGGCATGAAGATATACCCAGTTGGATAGGCAGTAGTCAACGTGAAGGCAAGCAATGTCATCAGGCTTTTGCCTCTCGCTTCACAACGACAGATTGTTACAGAAAATGGAGTGGTTGGTTGAAAGTAATGAAGGTTACTAGATAGTTACAGGGTGCCGCATACAGGTTCTTTATTACTGAATTTTATTTGTAAACAGCATGTAAATCGCAGAAATCACACAGTTTCAATTAGTCAACGACAATCCAGAGTGAGGAAAATGGATTGGAATTGCGAAGAATGGGAAAGCGGTGAGGCAATGATGACTTTGATGTTGAGGTAAAGGTAGAACAGGTAGGTAGATAGGAGGACAGGACACACAAACTGCTGTACCAGCATCTATCCATCAATGGACACCTAGGTGCATCGATATGAAAACAACACAACACAACAACGACGACCTTGTTGCTGTTGCCGGCACACTCGGTGGTGGTGGTGTGCGCAATTCGCTCGATTCAGATGAGATGACGAACGATCACTACAATCGCATCGCATCATCACAATTCGATAGAAATGAGAGGAGGGAGGGAGGAGGACTGAAGCCTGACAATGCAACGATAGAATACAATAGCGGTAGAACCAGTAACCGATCGACCGACCGATCCGAACACAATGACGGACGAGGGAGAGATGCGACGAGGAGGAAAATGGTAAAATAAGATGCGAAAACGTTGCAAAGGAAATGCGAAATGGTAGCGGCGGCGGTGATAGTGAAGAAGATGTGAGAAGAAATTATGCTGAGGGAGATAGATATTATGACATATAATCAACACTAAGAAATGAGTAGTGCTCAGTGTTGATGGCTGATCGCGCGCCAACGGGCACTGATCCATCCATCCATCGAATGAACTGAACTCAAATCACTATAACCACCTACCTACCTACCCACCTACCTTCCTCATTCGTCCCTCAACATGTGCATCAATAACACACCATAATAATACGCATTACTCATACATACCAACAAAGGAACCGTGACTATAACTTACTTCTATGTGACACGACTATCAATGCATATCAATAATTGACTGACTCAGTTCACAGAGCATCCTCCTCAATCGACAACTGTAAGAAATAAGCAGTCGAATGAGCACAGCTAAGTGAATGAGTTAAGTGAATAAGAAATCAACAATTGAAACATCTTATGAAATCGTAATGACGCGAGTAACCATTTGTATCTGCCGAAATATCGAATGTATAGAAGTTATCTAACCAACTCATAAGCAGTCAAATAATTCTGTTGAACAAGAATTGTGAGGGAATACTACTTGTAAGCAAGGAACTCTCATTTATTTGAATATAATTGCTAACCGGAAACATTCTATATTACAGTGTTGTTGTCATCTCTATTGTTATAGTTTTGGTTATTGCTATCACATTTTTTGTTGCAATGATGATTATCATTTTGTTATAGACATTTTTTGAGTATCATATTCAGTATTCATTCAGTGACTCATAATAAGTTCACATAGAAAATTCACTCTTTTGTTGATTCGCAGTTGTTGTATTTTATGGTATACGCCTCTTATTGTCTTCATTCTCACAAGGCCATCCCAACCGAACGCATTCAGAGAGACACGCATACAACCAAATCACACACACACAAAAATATCAATTCATCATATGCACCATTTCGAATAAGTTCGAATCAAGGGAATTAACAAGGAAATATATTCACATCAACTGTATATTCGTTGCATTCGAACCCCCTTGTTAAGTTCATGCACTTCCAGCCGTCGCTATAATTTTTAACTTATACAATAGGACAGTGGCATGTGGCAGCTCATGGCATGTTACTTTAATTCATTCGCATACGATATTCACTCGACAGAATTCAACGAATTTCTAATGCAGTACATCAGTGCTGCATTAGAAATTTAAATACGTTTTCAGTTGATATTACAAGCATTTCACTGCATATTACAGACCACGGCAACTGCATAAATTCTCGTCAATAAGACTAGTTCATTTGTTCTCAAAATGAGTGGTAACTCGTATGCTGCACAGCCCGTTCCCTGTGGACACTCATTCCTTCGTCCAATAATCTACGTGACTGTGATTCCCATCTCCCGTGAAAGGTCATTACCTTCTTGCGATGAATCAAAAGAAAAGCAGAAAATTGATGCGTTCGTCAAAGAGTTTTGTGTGTCAAGAATTCGACGGTGGTTTCAAAGAAAACAATTTTTTACGATCAAATGAGCATTTTGAAAGCATTCTTGGACGATTATGTAAGAATTATGGGAAGAAAATCAATCAGCGATATACCAGAGTTCTTCTCCTGAGACCCGATAAGAACCACCGCTTTAAATCAAAGTTCTCCTTCTCGGTTCATTAAAATGAAGCCCGAAAGTGGAACTTAATTCACCACATCACAATTCGTTATGAAAGTATGATTGCTATTCGAATGAGATATCAACTGAGACGTTTATGAGTCGACGATGTTCCACTATGCGAATAATACCATGAAGTTGAATAATAATAAATAATACCATGTTTTCATTAGAACTATGGTGTTCTTGAAGTGACCAATGTGAATTTTGAAGATTTCCATATGGCCTTCCACCATGTTTCCATTGACCATCGATAGCTAGACTCTTACTTGAGTTATTAATTTGACTTGGGCTTTCCTCTACTCGGTTCCAGTGAAAGTAAAGTTACTTTTCAAAATTCGACTCAAAATGAAGTTTCGATTCAAAAATGAAGTTAACCAGTTTTGGGCAACTCAACAATGTTACTGCTCATTCAGCATCCATCTAACTATCCATTATCCACTCATTCGTTTGATTATGAAATCGTTAATTAATCAACTACTTGATAAAGGTCTACGCAGACAGACTGGCAAATGTAATCCAATTTCTTATCGAATGGCATCGATCTTCGTTCGATCTATACTCGTGAATCCGTTTTTAGAATCTGCAGGAAGGAGATGAGTAATCAAAGAGACTGAAAGATATTCGAGAGTATTGGTTAGAACATTATTTGCATTATAATATCGTTGGACAAAATGAAAGCTGAACAAACGATTAAGGATATACTGTATATAGTATGATTTATTGTGTGCATTATGCCTGCATCTATTCAGCCTTTCATTCAACCAATCATTCATAATGTTTTCAATAATTTCAATATTCAAGGTCAATGACTCGATTGTTTGAGTTGAATTGATTGTAAGTACATCAAATGTTCTTGAATATTATTATTGTTTGTTGTTGTTGAGTTTTATTATTATTTATTAGCACTGTTATGGGTTATTATTATTATTTGTCATGAATATTTGTTTATCATTGAGAACTGAGAATTATTGTTGTTAATATTATGACTATTCGTAATAATAATTATTATCATCATTATTGGCCATTCAAATTCATCTATTTTTGATCATTCTTACATATTCATAGTCCCCTCATTCGCTTTCCTTTTATTTATTCTTTTTTTTCAAATATTGTCGCGTCCTGTCTCTGTTTCTGTCTCCTTCCCTCAGAAAAAAATCGAACGAAACGCTGAAGTTGGTCAAAAACTTATTGGAAGATCTCATTCTTATCTGTGTGGTTGATCATATTAATATGAGATCAATTGACTGCAGTGAATCAGCGAAGATGAACATTGTGCATTTGTTTGTGAAAGATTTATGAAGATTACAGCAGATTCAAGTATATCAAAATGTTGAAAGTGACGAAGGCAGTTTGTCACTGAAATTAATGAAGACGGTTAGTTTAAGGATCATCAACTTTTAACTGACAATAGAATGATTTTTTAAAAAACTTTTTGGAACTATTTCCCGCAAAACATCAAGCTGATTTTTGACAAATGAAACTTTTTGAAATTTTAGACATCAAATCCATGTTTAAAACAACAACTTCTTTGCACACTTAATATCAGACTGATTTTACGGTAAGGTCTAAATTCAGTGAAAGATCACCATAGTAAACAAAAATCACGTTTTTGGTAGATTGTAGACGACAAGCGGATGAATTTACGAGGAATTAGAGTGCCTCAACCATATTGTTTGCTGGACAAGGTGTTTTAGAGGAGCGTGTGGTAGTAAGGAACTAGCTGATAGTAATGTCTGATAGTAACCATATCAAGCAAATATTTGCTACAGTCTTTGACCCAATAAAACATATTCTTTAACAAGACCTTCACATATCACGGTACTAAAGTCAAATCAATGGATCATCAATAAACGAAATAGTGCAGTTTTGAATTGACTTCACTGCAAAATTGATGAAAATTTTGTTGAAATTTGAAATTGAAGAAAATTTTGAATTGTTTGGCGGAGAATGTTCGCTCTATGTGACAATCAGAATTTGACAAAATTTGCATTGAATTTGATTTATTCACAAATCAATAATGACATTCATCGGTAATCGCTTTGTTATTTGCATACATATACACGAGTGAAAGAAGAAGGAAGGGTTGAATAAACGAATATCCTCTTGCAAACATTTTCTCAATAACTATAATAACTCCAACAAGAACAATTTTGTTCTTAATTTCGCGTATAACCTTGAGAATTTCTTTTCATCTCCTTCTACTATTATTCCTTTAAGTACTTCTCCAATATTAATTCAACTCCGAAAGTCCCATTATCCTCAGTTAATTTCCAAATTACTTCGCCATTCTTCAAATGAAAATCGTACGACAACCATTTGGAAATGGTCAGCAAAAGGGACGATGTGCAGTTGGTTGAAGCGTATTTGTGTAACATCATCTTATTCAATTCATCATGGATTCTCTGTGAAGTTAATGTTTTCACTGGTTTTCAGCAGGATGAACAATTAAAAAAGCCAAAAAAAACACTACAATCACAAATTCGCAATTAAACTTATCAAAACATAAACAATTAGAGCAAATAACTTGTAACCTACCGTTTCTATTCATGATATACAAATATCAGAGGCCATTCTCTCGACAGTAGATCAGACTGGTCTCATCGCAGAATAACTTCGGTTAGGTGGATGATGGATGTAAGCTGCAACAAACTCACTGCATCTGATACAGATTATAATGAACACACATTGCGAATAAGTGAAAAACAAGACTGTTAATGAGAAGTGCTTTAATAAGGCTCTAATCGGATCATCTCAAATCGTCCGCAATGCATTAGCACTGCGGATGTTATATGTGCTTACACCTTTTATATCGCAAATAACTTCTAATCCATCACCTTAAGAGCGAATACTTTATCTGAATATCACTAATGCGGATTAAAATCTTCCGGATGTAACACAAATCAAGACGATTTTCGAGTGCTTCACCATCGTCAACTTATTCCCTAGAAGCCATATTATCATCAAAGCAATTCACTTTGCATTCAACATTTATTTGTTCCGACTGTGATCCCTCTAGCACATAATGCGTTCAGTCTTCACCTCTTTTCACGAATCACTTTCATCTATTTCTTTCTCAGATCAACACTAACTTGCGCACTAAATCTATTCAACATCGATTCAACATGAATACCAACAAAATTTTATTCAAAACGCGTAGAAACAGCATGGTCAATATCATGAAATCATTTTTTAATTAAACATATAGTAGAAATACGCGGTAAAGAAATGAGTGCTATAGAGCAAATGGGATAACGTCACAAAATCAACTATTTCCCTGAACGTGATCAAAATCGCCCAACAATAAGTGCAATTTTCTGAAACTGAAG